ATAACAAATATATAAGTCCCACATTTGTCATTGCACGATGAAGGGTGACTTGGCCTCTTGCAAGTACTTTGCAAGACTATTAGCAAGCCGGCAGGTCACAGTTTTGTATTTCTATGAACAAGTGCTGAGCCAATATATACTTTGTCAGTCACCCTCAATTCCTCAATTTAATCCTTCACATCTCTCTTTCTCTCTCCCTCTCTCTCAATAATTTAACCAAGATGATGAAGATGTATTGGGTGGTTACATGGTTCATGAAGCTCTGCATGTTATGCATGCTTCTGATGACTTTGGATACAACCGAAGCTCAAAAACAGTTGAAACTGGGGTTCTATAAAACCACATGTCCGGCTGCTGAGAAGATAGTGCGAGACACAGTGAATAAGGCAGTCACCGCCAACCCTGGAATGGCTGCAGGAATCATTCGTCTCTACTTCCACGACTGCTTTGTCAGGGTACGTATATTATGATCATCAGCTTCATTTCTAACTTGTATCAGTTCACATCATTATAATTTTCGAACTTTTTTTATGATATATCATAGGGTTGCGACGCTTCACTTCTACTTAAGACAGTGCCAGGCAGTGAAATCGAGTCAGAGCAAGATGCCGGAGCCAATGCCGGCACTCTGAGAGGACTCGAGATAATAGATCAGGCTAAAGCAAAGATAGAAGCTGCATGCCCTAACACTGTCTCATGTGCTGACATCTTGGCTTTCGCTGCTCGAGATAGCACCACCATTGTTGGTGGTTTCTCTTATGCTATCCCATCAGGACGAAGGGACGGAAGGGTTTCAAACATAGATGAAGTAGACCTCCCGTCACCGGATTCTGACGTGAACACCCTGAAGAAGGAGTTTGTGGCTAAAGGTTTGAGTATTGGAGATATGGTGGCATTGTCTGGAGCTCACTCTATTGGGAGAGCAGGATGTAATTTTGCTACACAACGGTTATATTTCTTTAACGGCTCACATACTGATCCATCGTTGGATCCAAAATATGCAGCAGCCTTGAAAAAGAAATGCCCGAAGAGTCGAATCTCTGGGACTGCGGATCTTGATCTAGTGACCCCTAATCGCCTAGACAATCAATATTATTCTAACGTGAAACAACACAAGGTTATGTTCTCATCGGATCAGACGCTCGTTGATAGTAAATTTACGGCAGCATTGGTAACTAAATACTCGAGTAACTTGGCTGCTTGGAGAAACGACTTTTCTGCAGCGATGATACGTTTAGGTTCTCTTGAAGTATTGACAGGGACCAAAGGTGAAATTCGGAAGAAGTGTGGGGTTCGAAACTAAATTGTCTTAAATGTATACTTGTCATATCATTATTGTTTTGGTTTTAATTGATTTCTTATATATGTATTCTTTATTCTTCAAGACTTTAAGTGAATGAAATTGTTGTACTTTTTATTCAAATATCATGTTAAGATATTGCTTGATATTAAATACTATAAACATAGTAGGATTATACTATTGAAGTAGCTATATGATATTTACAATACGGAAGAAATAATGTTGCATGTTCTTGATGTCTCATTTGATGTCTTCTTTATCGAAGACTTAATGTAAGTTATGACATTATAGCTAGGGAATATATATGATTTAACCATTTTATTTGACAAAGTAGAATCACACAGAAAGATTTTACTTTAGGCTAATTAATTTTTAACTATAACTAGTGGATCAAAATCACAAGATTATCATACCTACTACTAAATTAATTTATGACCATTAGCCACAAAAGAGTAATTAAGTTTCAATATAACACCTGAACACCATATGTTTTTCATATATAGTTTAATGTAATTTGAATAACCGAACTAGTAAAATATTTAGGTAAAATATGTGTTAAATAGTCTTATAACATAAACATAAATCATTGAGCATGTTAATTGTATGGGTATATCTAGAGCTGTAAACGAACTGAACGTTCAGCGAACTGTTCGTGAACCGTTCGGCGGGAAGTTCGTTTATGTTCGTTTATTTAATAAATGAACGAACATGAGCACAAATGCTCGTTCGTTTAGTTAAACGAACGAACATGAACAATGGTCTCGTTCGTTCAATTATGTTCGTGAACGTTCGTTTATGTTGTTCGTTTACGTTTGTTTATGTTCGTTTATATAAGTTCTTTTTATCTTTATATATGTTTAAGTGTGTTTATTACATTACTGTATTATATGTTTATTTATGTTCATATATGTTTGTTTATCTTTATTCGTTTATGTTTGTTTGTTTATGTTCGTTTAACATGTTCACGAACATAAACGAACGAACATGAACAATGAATTGTTGTTAAACGAACGAACATGACAAGAAAAACTCGTTCGTTTAACCGTTCGTGTTCGTTCATTTGTTCAGTTAACTTAAACGAACGAATATGAACAAGCCCCGTTCGTATTCGTTCGATTCGTTTACAGCCCTATGTATATCTTACAATGGTCCACGTCCGACTATAGAAACATACATATATAGATTGGTTTTTTTAAAGTCAAACTATTAAACTTATGATTTAAAATTAAATTCACCCAAAACACATTTTCATTATTTCATAGTTAAAAAGCTGTGCATGCCTCTAACATCTTCTTTAGAATTTAGTATGACATTCATAAATTGCTTTTTCTCAGATTTATCAATATTAACACATTCTTCAAACAATGTTTTTGTTCAACTTTCTTAACTAAGTCAAACTATGCAACTTTCTTGTATTCAACCTTATTCAAAACCGAAATACATAATTCCAGCCATGTTTCTTGTTACAAACAACTTCTAAAAACCTATGAAGTTTCTAAATTGAGATAAAAGCTAATGCATTATGTTTCTTAACTTAAATAACGCGTTTTATACGTAACATATATATCATTGCTTTTGATTGCTTTTGATTGAAGCATACGCTCAATCTTCTTATAATATTGGAGTTCTTTTATCCATGTGGAATAGAAACATTTTAACATAAACAATTTGATGTTATAATTTACATTTGTTGTTGCATTATGTTAGTCATTTTTAAACATGTTAGGATTAATTCACATGGGTATCAAAAGAAATTTTAAGCTTTGTTCATATATGAATTAGATGGTGCGGAAATTTTAAGCTTTGTTCATATATGAATTAGATATGGTGCGGAGGCACTACGAAAAAATCTTAAATAGCTATGGAAAAATTATATAGCTAGATACTGAATTCCATAGCTAAGTTTGAATAGATACGTTAACATAAAAATTGAAAATAAATTCCGAACATAGATCTTTGTATCATTTTTTTATTCATAATTATATTTTCATAGTTAATTTGACACGGTCGTTCCTACGACATCTATTATGTGAAAAAAAAAAATAACAATTATAGTAAAATGACAATATAAACAGAGAATTCGTTGCAAAATGACTTTGCCACATTCAATAGCAAAATCGAGACAAACATATTCCATATCAAATTCGCTATGTCGTGTGCCAAATTTTTTGCAAATTACTACAATATATCCGTAACAGTTTCGGTATTAATCTTTTTTTTTCTAAATCAACATGTAGGTTTTTATTATAATCCCAAACACACGATATATGAAAATTCTATAAATATAATATAAAAGTTACATAAATTATATTACGTCGTTCAGTTAAAGTAAGTTTTTAGACCATTATGAAGTCGTACCCAAGGTACCAGTCCATGGTGTGGACGGCATTGGTAGGGTTTTTTTTTTTTTTGGGGGGGGGGGGGGGGGGGGGGGGGGAGGAGGGGATTTTCAAAATTATCAAAATACTATAAAAAAATTATAGAGTATTAAAAATGATAAATAAGAGACTACCTACTCGTGATCTTTGAATTGTATGATATTTGTCTGCTTGTCGAGTTCTTGGTTGGTATTTTTATGGTAGGTGAACTGCTATTCAGAAGTTAGAAACTTCAACAGAAAAATTTAAGAGTAACACATGTCACAAATTTTTGCTCTGCTTTATTTCATAGGACCAACGATCTTTATATAGGCAATATTTTACAAACGGCAAACAACTTCAATTACATATTCTAGACATATACCTAATTTTACATTATTGTTATATATATATATATATATATATATATATATATATATATATATATATATATATATATATATATTATATATATAGGACATGTATTTGATGCTACTATTCATCATTGAGTATATGTGATGCACACTACATACATAATATTACATATTTGACACTTACTATTATATATTGGACATAAAAGGATGTCTTAAAATTGTTACATTTTTGACAAGTAATAATAATTGCATCGTGATCGGATATCATAAAGAATCAAATGATTCATGTATCTTATTCCATTCACTAAAGAGTCGTAACATATACATGATAATATAACAACTTCTTAAAATAAACGCCAAAGAAAATCAATAAAGATAAGGAAACAAGTCTTGAAAATAAAGAAAATACGATTTCCTTTTTGCAGCTACTTGTCACCAACCATCAAGTTTAAGGTTTCTTACACAAAGATTGGCGGAACATTCCTGATAATTCTACTATGAATAACAATGTTGAAGGATCTAGTTGTCTAAACGCTTCCATTAGAATTAGATAGGATAAATTTAAGAACATTGCGTTTCGACCATCAAACTTTATATCTTTATAAGTTATGGATATATTCACTTTTTTGCCATTTTGGCTGGATTAGAATTTAGAGGTACATGACTTTGTTATTTAGTTAGCTTGTCATTTTGCACTTTTTTGTGAAAAAACTGTTGACTCTAAGCATTTTCCCATAAATTTAAGATCGCACTTCTTTCAATATAGACTTTATATCATCCTTAAAATGCAAGATTTTACAAGTAAGAAAAAAAAAACCCTAAGAATCCTTTTATCCAAATAGATTTTTTGAAGTGCATAATAAAAAAGGGTAAATGCCATGGTAACATAACATATTAACATACATGCTCTTTGGTTCCTTTCTCGAAACCACTTACATGTAGCAACTGAAAAACCATGAACACCATTTTCATCTTTTCCATTTCAATGGTGGGATCAAAATCAAAGGTTAAAGCTCCAACATACCAACACAAGAACATCCTTCACACACTTTCAAAAGTAAAAAAGAAAAAAGAAAAAACACATTTTACAATCAATATACAACAACACCAAAACCGTTGAAGTGATTCTCAATCTAATATTTCCAACAATAACAACCAACCAACTGGAAAAGGGTGTTTAATTGCATCCAACTACAGTAAGTTTCTGTGCATTCATTAAGTATATTACCCTTCCTAATCACCTCATCTTACAGATGTCATCCATTTCATACTTCATAACATCTCTACACTTCAACCTTCATCATTATGAATTATGATTTTTCTTATCCCCTCACCACTTTTCCTCCTCTCATGCTGTTCCTGTTTTTGGTGGCTGTTCAAACAAACATTTATAGAAAATACTCAGAGTTTGAGAAAAAGTTGAAAATCTTATTCAAGAACTTAACTAAAATTTTACCTTTTTAAGAGGCAACTTAGAAGTTCCTGGCTTTTTTGAATAATCAAGTGGCTTCAATATCTCAAAAGAACACACTAAGGATTTGTCAACACTCAATAAAGCCCCTGCATTGTCAAACTCTCCCCCATAATTTGGAGCTGAAAATATTGTCACAAGTCTTCTTTTAGCAAAAAACTCATACCCATCTTCTACCACCTGCAAAAAAAAAACATTCATAATATGGCTCACATGATACATAATTACATATACAATGTTTCCATAAACAAACTAAGTTTTATTACCTGATGACCTCTACAAATAAGGTCAAGATCATTCTTGGCAAGAAATTCAACAACTTTATCAGCTCCAAAAGTACATGAAACACCACGATCACTATCAGACCAACCTTCAATGTTGGGATCAGGATCTGACCATAATAAATCACATAAAAGCCCATTATCAGGGATTTCAGTTGGCCTTTCAATTTCCTTTATTTGTCTCAAATTCTCAAGCTCTGGGGAAAGACCACCATGCATGCAAAGGATCTTTTCATCAACTAATGCAGCAACTGGCAAACAGTTGAAGCAATCTGTAAATATCTTCCATAAACGGACATTGAATCTCCTTTTACATTCATCATAAAACCCATAAATGCGGTTGATTTTGGCATCTTCATGGTTTCCTCTTAAGAGGAACACTTTGTCTGGATATCTTATCTTGTATGCAAGAAGCAGACATATGGTCTCCAAACTTTGTTTGCCTCTGTCAACATAATCACCAAGAAAGAGGTAGTTTTCAATTGGAGGGTAGCCACCATACTCAAAAAGCCTCAATAGGTCTTGGTATTGTCCGTGTATATCACCTATCATTAACAAAGATTGAAGAACATGAGCTACATTAGGAAATAATATAAGAGTATATAAGTAGTTTTAGTACTGTAGTATATGTATATAGTCGGTTATTGTTACAGCTAGTATCAAATTGATTATTTAACCCTTGAAGAATCCAATAATCATAAGTCTTACCCAGATTGTAGAAACTGTATCCCAATAAATCACATAATCACTTTATAACCCCACAAACCAATTATATTCTAATGGATACATATATGTAGAGAGTATCAATGAGGTGAGAATATGAACATACACAAAACCCCCAAACCAAATAGTTCAAAGAAAGGCACCGATTCACCATGATAATCATCATTAAAACTAAACCCACCCCAAATCAGATCAAATACAAAGAAGCCCTTTAGTAATTCGATCATTAGGGCACCACAATAGAACTCAAAGTTACATAGAACATGGGCAGAAATCCATCATACCCATCTGCAATTGAGCGTCATAATTACGAGATTCCAAAAAAAGTATACAAAAAAATAAAAGGATCAAAAACTAGTCCTCGAATCTTACCGCAGATCCTGATTGGCGCATGAAGCTGCAGGAGATTAGGTTGAGAAAGGAAAATTTGCCTGGCGTTGACGCACAGCTGACGGATCTCAGCCTCCGATAGCTGGACCTGTTTCCCTCCTCTACCATCCAACAACCTCCTAATTATATCATCCAATACACCCTTCTCCATCATCCCGTCAATCACGATCATACTCATTTTATCTTCCTACCTACCTATTAACACGAGAAGAAAAATCCTCCTAAGAAAGGGTTAATCGAGAAAGATTTACATAGATAAAGAGAAAGGGATCGAGTAATTGAATTTAGAAGAGAGATGAGGGATGAAAGAGGTGGGGTGGGGGTTGAATGAGATTTGGTGCGGTGGGTATTTCTCAAAGAAGAGAAAGAACATGTCTTTGGGCATGTCGTTATCCTGCAGCTCTTGAACACTTTTTCAATTCTTTCCGTCTGTGAGTAATCAATGTATACGTATTTTCTTCGTACTCTATACGTCTCTTTGGTTTGATACGGTCTAAGGTTATCCATAGACCATACCATAACCGGCTCAATTCTTCCCGTTTTAATATCACTATATTTATATAACACAAAGTAGAATATATAGATATAATATATTTTTTTTATCATGTTATTAATTAATTAAATAATCATATTGTCTTGCAAAATACTTATATATGTAATCATTATTGTTAGGTGGACAATATGATACTTCTAGTTGTAAACTTACCAACGGTTGGCACATAGACAAAGTAAAGATAGTTTGGTGGAATAGTTGATGTTTTTTCTTGAAATAAGTTGATTTTGTCTAATAAATGTATTAGAACTAATTTCTTTTATACAATATAGAGTATAAGAAAACACTATTTCTTTTATTATTTATGGATTATGCTTTTTAAGTGATCAAACTCTAAGTGTAAATTAATTTCACCCATAAATCAAATCTCAAATTAAACTCTAAACTCAAACATCAAGATCATACAGAAAGATACTTCAAGTTTTAAACTTAGTTTTCTGAAAATCTATTTTGTACAATTCAAAGTTGTATGTTTACATATGGATTGTCAATTTGTCATATTTTAACATTAACTCCTTTAAACATTTATCTCTAACACATATAATCCAATCCCACATTAAATCTTAACTTTCATTTCCAAAGTTGATTGCCATAGTAGGAAGTTGACTATAAACTTAACATTTATGATTTATTTTCCAAACATTTGTACAAATTTCATTAAAATGATGAACCATTTCTAAAAAGCTAGTTTTAATCGGTTTGTGTTTATAATTCATAACCTTACGTTTTGGCACACTTCTTCTTATGCCATAAATATATATTGGCTTATACATTTCTTACCAATCATGCCAGATTTAACATTTTCATCATACCATCATCATTAAATCATAATTCAATATTTGACATAGTTTTTAATGCTAGAATACTTCAAGATTTTCCCATAAATTTGTTAGATGATGCTTATTTAACAATATTTCTCAATATTATTCTATATTTAGGTTATACTTTAAATAAATGTAAAAATATATTTTATCATATCAAAAAATATTTAAAAAAATACGAACAAATTATAATCAACGTGCATTATTATGTTAATACTAAACACAAGTTTCATGAACCCTGATTTACAACATGAACAATTTTTTAAGAAAGAAAATGATATACCTTAAGATTGTGTGGAGAACCGAAGAAAAAAAAGAATTATCTTCACTAGGCTAATCATATTCTACTCTTTTCATAGAGTTTACAAAAACCCTAACATCTAAGATTGAAACCCTAAAATGAAGACAACGGTAACAAAGACAAGAGAGAATATAGAAAATATTTAACTCTCTCAAATAAAGAAATGATAACACTTTGTAGCGTATAGAGTAAACAATAACTATATGTATCATTTCAATATGGGAACATACGGTGTAGCTATACGGTATTAAAAAAAATATTAACAGCTCTCACCAACTTTGTTATACAAATCTTTTGCTCCTGCGTACAAGATTTCCAACGATGCATTAGAGATCGACTTTCTAGCTTATCCAACGCAACCTTCCAGTTATCCAACTATTCATATTTGATCCTCCATGAATCGATCGACGCTTAATTAAGCTAAGTTACAGATACCAAAATAATTACCGTTGTTAAGGTTGTATAGGCATACATTGTAACACCCGATTCCTAATTTGAGTAATTGGCGGATGCGCTTACCAAATTGTATATTGGAGGATTTCATGTGTTGGAGGTTTTTAATTGTAACATCTGAGTCCGAATTATGCTTTTCTAAAACTATGATTGGTGATTTTAATGTCCAAGGAAATGCAGAACTGACGACCAAAGCTTGAAGGAATAAATCGCAAAAATCTAAAAACTGAAAAGTTGTAGATTTATACTGAAGGCGTTAGGGCGCCATTTATGGGGTGCATAGCGCCCAGACCCATGGGATAAACGACTTATTGGGATTTTGGAGACTATTTAAAGCACATTAACCCCTAGGGTTTGTCATTCTCAACCTCTATCAACCCTAGAACATCCCTTAAGAGAAACACAAGCCTCCTTTGAGTGTTCTGAGCTTATCCTCTCTCTCCTTGAACCAATTTTGGTGCTTATTTGGGTGTTTTGGTGAAGCTTGAACATCAAGAAGGTTTCCTTTGTTGCAGGAAAGGTGGTTCCAAGTGTAGATCCAGCCAACTCACTCCATTTCTGGACCTTTATAAGTATAAAGTTGATACCTTGCTCGTTAGTTCTTGAGATCTTGTTGTGTAATTTTTGGTACTTTTTGGTCATTTTGAATGTGTTCTTAGAATTAAGAGAACTCCAGGACCATGTGAGCACATTTGATTACTCTCCGGACTTGTTGGACTTGGAAAAATTGGATCTTGTTGTAATAATCCATATTTTTTTTTATAAACATTTAACATTGAAATTCTAGAAAATATAAGAGTATTTGTCATTGTTTACAAAACTAGAGTTTCAAAAATCATCAAAGTATTTCCAGAAAACATTAACGGGTGTCAACATATCATATCCTAACCACAATTAAAGCAACAAAGATAAAACATAAAACAAAAGTCTTGTCCAGTGCCTTGATGCTCCTAAGCCCACTTATCTAAGGCTTGCTACCTGAACCTGAACCTGAAATACATGGAGACGATATATATCAAACAATATGTCATATGAGTTATACATTAACATAACATACAATAAATAAATTATTGTCTGTGACATCCCCTATTTTCCAGAATTGAAAAAAAATCTTTACGCTATAAAAATCATAATATCTTGCTTTGTGGAAAATCCTAGTATATTAAAACATTTTGAGTACAAATTATTGTCTCAAACTAGGGATGCCATAATCAATACAATACATATGTTATGGCATAAAGACCTATTGGTCCTAAATATTATTGCATATCTTCTCTTCAGTCACTCAACATCTTATTCAAATCTTCAGCAGTCGTATTACCGCTACGGCGCTACCTATGATGCATATAAATAAGTGGGTCAGGTTGGTAAACCTAGTGGGATACATAGGTTTTTCAACCCCCCAATGTTATTATGATATTAATCTTGCAACACCAATTGTTATCCAACAATACATCAATAAAGGCAACCATGGGGGATAGAGTGCACCGAATGAACATATGATCCAATCTCCTCGGATCAGTATAATTTATTAACACTTATAGACTATAAATTCGCAACCATGGGGGATAGAGTGCACCGAATGAACCTGGACGGCGTAAACGTCCGGGGGCGGATGACTTCGTGTACAGTATCATAACAATTGAATATAAATGAAGCATAGCAACCAAACATCATACATTAGAAATACACACTTACATAGTTTACATATTGAATCTTGTTCATCAGTTACACAAAAGTAAGAAAGTAAAATTTCTTGAAGTCGCACCACTTGATCTTATAGTCGAACTTATTACCTGCTACTGGAATTCCTGAGAATACAAGTCGTTTTGAAAAGCGTCAACTAAAAAGTTGGTGAGTTCATAAGCAGTTTTGAATAAAAATGGTTTTTGTACTTGTTTAGAATCGTTTTCAAAGTGCTTTCAAAAATATCCGATACTTTCTAAAAAGAAATGGTTTGAAATATTTGTGTCCGATCTTATATTAATGCATGTGTGTTGATGGTTACAAAAATAGAAAGAGAATGATTTCCAGACAACCCGATGTTGTCTGCGATAGATGATGCTGGAATCTCAACCCCCGTGGTTGAGTACCAGTGCGTATAGATTACCGTTTTATCAAGAAGAAGGTTTCCCGTTTTATCCAAAAAGAAAATAGAATGGTTTCCCGTAAATCTTATAACGTTAATTCCTCTAAGTGAGTCGTTATAACCATACTAAATAATGACAATTTCGCATGTCTTTGCGTCTTTGGGACGCCGACGGAATAGGATAAGGTTTGTCACCCTAGACTGGCCTAGTCTAACTGTAGCGAACAACTCAGGTGTGGGGTGTCACCCCCGTATAGATCTATACACAAACTCCCGCTTTCCCTCCAGGAAACTCTGGTTATAACTACAGGCTACGTTTGTACACTCATATGGTGCCAAACGAAAAGTCTCACTAGATCCTTAATCAAAGTTTACGCAAAAAAAGAAGAAGAAAAACATATAAAACTCATTCTCAGGCGCAATAAACATGTAAGTGGACCACTAAGGCCCACTATACGTGTCTATTATTTCCAGGCTCAAAAGGAATATGAATGTATATCCTGGGCCCAATATACATGTAAAAAGACAACCAAGGCCCACTAAACATGTAAAAGGACACTAAGGCCCACTAAACATGTAAAAGGACACTAAGGCCCACTAAACATGTAAAAGGACACTAAGGCCCACTAAACATGTATATTATTTTCAGGCCCAATAAGGATATGAATATCGTTTTTAACCCGTTTGTTATTGTTTTGTTTATTTTAGCTCGATTATTTACAAACTTGATATAAAAGCCCACTTTTTGTAAAAATGATGTTCTTGGCCCAATAAGCCACAAATTTTCAATTAAGGCCCAATTATAGTAAAAATAACACTTTAGTCCTCATTTTGTTCAAAACTTGTGTTTATGACTAGTTTGTGGTAAAAATAACATTTTAAACCCATTTTTGTCAAAAATATCATTTTTGGCTTGATTTTTGTGAAATACACATTTTTCTGGTTTTTAGCTTTTCTGACTTAGTTGTTGGAAAAATTGTAGAAAAATCATCGTAAGTCGAAATTTGGATCCGTAATTTCTGGAAGTTTGGAAATTTTGTCTACTTTGTTCACAATTTTTCTCATAATTTGTATTGGCCTCTAACAAGTGTGAAATTGCTCACCTTCACAGGTTGGTCTGGAATTATTTCAAATCTGATAGGCAGTTTTATAAAATTCGCCAAAAATAGTAGAAAAATTGTATGAAAACGTGAGAGTAGTCATT